CAAAGAGCTGGTGAATCAGCTAAAGAATACATTGCAGCCTTGAGAAGAGCAGCTAAGCCCTGTAATTTTAAAGACTTAGAAGAAAGGTTGAGAGACCGATTTGTATGTGGGCTTAGGAACAGAGACTTGTAGCAGAGACTTTTTGCAAAGGAAGACATATCATTCCAAGATGCCTTGAGAGAGGTCACTGCAGAAGAGGCAGCAGGTGGGGCAGTTAAGAACATGAGGCCTATCAGGAACACTCCAGAAGCTGTTTCCGTGCACCATGAGGGAGTCCAGGAGAGCTTGGAAGAAGATCCTGAAGATGAGGTGGATCATCTCTACCCAGCCAAAGAAAGAAAGCAGAAGGAAGGCAAAGAGAAGTCTTCAGCTGTACCCAAGTGCTTCGGGTGTGGAGGTCGCCACAAGAGGATCGACTGCAGATTCCGTTCTGCAATCTGTAGAGCATGTGGAAAGCAAGGCCACATAGCATCTGTGTGTCTGGGCCGTCAGGAGGTACAACCCCGAGAAGAAATGCGCCTGAAAGGTACCAGGGTCCCTAGCCAAAACAGAGTGTGTTTCTGTGCATCACGAAGAAGGACAGGCACATACAAGCCACTTAAAAAGAAACTGTCACTTAAGGTGAAGTTGCAAGGAGTTCCATTGATTATGGAACTAGACACTGGGTCTGCACTTTCAATTATTTCCATTCACATATTCAGAAAGATTTGTTCTAGCAGTGGGTTCCAGGCCAAGCTTAGGCCATCCAATATAGTTCTAACAGACTTTCAAAAGTCTGTATTGTACATTAAGGGGGAGGCCACCCTTAATGTACAATACAAGGATTTTGAAGGTCCATTAGATGTATTCGTAGTTGGGGGCGAGCGCACAGTCTCATTGGACTCGATTGGTTTGAGGCCTTGGGAATACAAGTTACAGGGCTTCACAGTTTACAAACATTAGGTCTACAGGAAGTCTGTAAAGAATTTGCAGATGTCTTCAGCCCTCAGCTGGGTGCATACAAAGACCCCCCAGTTTCCTTGAAGCTGGATCCCACTGTCACTCGTATCAGAGTAAAGGCAAGGAGAGTACCCTTTGCTTTGAAAGGGAAAATTGATGCTGAATTGGACATATTGATTCAGCAAGGTGTCTTAGAACCAGTTGACTCAAGTCCTTGGGAAACTCCCATAGTTACGCCTCTTAAGGCTAATGGGGACATTCTCATCTGTGCAGATTACAAATGCACTCTAAACAAGGCATTGCAACAGCATGCATATCCTGTACCTGTAGTCAGTCATATTTTGGCCTCCCTCAAGGGGGGGCGTGTTTTTGCAAAGCTGGATTTAGCACAGGCTTATCAACAGTTACCTGTTGATGAAGCTGCTGCTGAAGCACAGACTATTGTAACTCATAGGGGGGCATTCAAAGTCAAAAGACTACAATTTGGAGTAAATGTGGCTCCTGGAATTTTCCAAAGCATAATGGAAAACATCTTGAGGGGTATACCAGGGGTTTGCCCCTATTTTGATGATGTCTTAATAGCAGGAGACTCCACTCAAAATTTAGCTGAGAGGTTGAGGGCTGTTCTGCTGCGGTTCAGGAAAACAGGCCTCAAGCTTAAAAAAGACAAATGTAAAATTGGAGTGTCATCTACAGATTTTCTGGGATTCAGAATAGATGCCAAGGGCATTCATCCTGCTGAGTCTAAATTAAAGGCTATCCTGCAAGCTCCTAGGCCTAAGTCTAAAGTTGAATTACAAGCTTTTCTGGGCCTCTTGAACTTCTACAATGCATTCATTCCTAACAAAGCTAATGTAGCTGAGCCACTTCATCGGCTCTTGGACAAACAGGCAGTGTGGCAATGGTCACAAGCACATGAAGCAAGCTTCAATGAGGTTAAGGCCTTACTTACATCCAATGATGTGCTTGCACATTTTAATGAAACTCTTCCTGCATGCATCGCTTGTGATGCTTCCCCCTATGGGGTAGGAGCAGTACTTAGCCATCTAAGACCTGATGGAACTCAGGTTCCTGTTGCATATTACTCCAGAACCTTGTCTTCTGCTGAGCGGAACTACGCTCAGATAGATAGAGAAGCCTTGGCCATTGTTGCTGGGATTAAAAAATTCCATGATTTTCTATATGGCAGACATTTTACGGTCTACACTGACCATAAGCCTTTGTTGGGGTTGTTTACTACAAACAAACAACCCCCCCATATCATCTCCCCCAGAATGCTGAGATGGTCCATCTTTCTGTCAGCCTATGACTTTTCCTTGGTTCACAAACCTGGCAAGGAAATGGGCCATGCTGATGGCCTCAATAGATTACCTTTACAATTGGTAGAGGCTGACCCTTCCCCTGCCATCAACATCCTTTCCATTCAGGCGTTGCCTGAGTCGCCTTTAAATGCCAGGGATGTGGCTGCTGAATCAGCCATGGACCTTACACTCACTCGTGTCTTATCCTGGGTTTTGTCTGGATGGCCAGAGAGTTGTCCAGGTACTGAGTTTCAGAGTTTCTGGCTTAAGAAACATGAGTTATCCACTTTTCAGGGTTGTCTTCTGTGGGGCAGCAGAATTGTTATTCCTACCTCAATGAGGCCTAGGGTCTTGGCTTCCCTTCATGAGGGCCATCCTGGCATTGTCAGAATGAAGGCGCTTGCGCACAGCCATTTGTGGTGGCCAGGGTTAGACAGAGAAATAGAAGTTAAGGTGCATGGATGCCACCTGTGTCAACGCTCACGCCCAGAAATGCCCCAGGCTCCTGTACATAGATGAGAGGAAACACAGTCACCTTGGTCTAGGGTGCACATTGATTACACTGGGCCCTTTCAGGCTCAATTCTTCTTGGTCCTTGTTGACAGCTATTCAAAGTGGCTTGAGGTTGTACCTGTCTCTTCAACCACTGCTGCCAAGACCATTCAAGTACTAAGGGGGATTTTTGCTGCACATGGGCTTCCTGATATTCTGGTGTCTGACAATGGCCCTCAATTCACTTCTTTCGAGTTTCAAGCTTTCTTACAGACCAACATGATTCATCATGCCACCTCTGCACCATTCCACCCCTCCACCAATGGTATGGCTGAACGGATGGTCTGCATCACCAAGGATGCTTTAAAGAAACTGACCTACAGGGACTGGCACCACAGGTTGGCAGACTTTCTTCTTCCTTACCGCACCACACTTTCAACTTCCACTGGGAAGAGCCCAGCTGAACTCCGTTGGGGGCGCAAACTGATCACCAAACTTGACAGGTTGCAGTTGGACAGACTGCCTCCTAAGGCCACCCAATCCAGAGCACCGCAGTATCTGCAAGTGGGTGCCCCGGTATGGACCCGTAACTATAGGCCTTATCACTTGTGGGTTCCTGCTGTAGTATGCAAGGTTACTGGCCCTTTGTCATACGAGGTCTCTTTGGATGACGGTCATGTCCTTTGGCGGCATATCAACCAGCTACGTACAAGACTGGACTTACCCTCTGAAACTCCTGGGCCTTTTCTGGGTGGGAGGGGGACCACTATGGGCAAAGGGAAGGGTGTTGGCAGCAGCCGGGGTCAAACGGATAGGCCACAGACAGCCTATTTCAAGGTTCCACAAGTGTTCCAAACAGGAATACAAGGGAACAAGAAATCACACAGGCACCAGTGCCTACTCCAGCCAGGGAGTCACCCAGGGGGCATACCCATCATTCACAACTACCATTCAGCACTCCAGTCAGGGAGAATAACCAGGAGCATCCTAATAACTCAAACATTGCAAGAGAGCAGGCACATAAACAGTCAAGTTGGCCCAGTACTGCTACTATTTCCAGAAGGAAGCCTTCCCACAGGGAGGTGGTCGGAGAGGCAAATCCCAATTATGACACCTCTGGCACAGATTGGGGGGCAACTGAGCTTTGGGGCACTGCAGAAACCCCAGACAATCCCGTTATGGGGCTTGGGAGTGAAGGGATGCTTTCCCTTGATAGGTCCAGTGTGGGCTTGGAAGGCTCTAGAGAAATGCCAAACAGTGGCAGATTTACAGAGGGGCCAGAGAGCCTACAATTAGGCAGGTCAACCAGGTTCATGGGGGAGCAAAGTCCTGGTCTGACAAGCCTGGTGGGCAAGCAAGCAGACCAGGCAACGGGGCACAGTTCATGGGGATCACCAGGGTTTGAAAGAGGGAGTAACTCCATGTCATCCTCTGTACAAGAGGAAATAGGGGATTCTCAGAATCCAAGGAGGTCACAGAGAGTAAAAAGATCTCCCAAGTATCTTGAGGACTTTGTAACTTTGCTGGCAAAGCAGAAACAGTGAGAGGGTGCCTGCTGTTGTGCTAATTGGAAATATGGGCATTGGGTATTAATCCCAGAACAATAGCCCGGTACCATTTGTGGCGTGGGTATGGCACAGCTGTAATAGTTGTGCAGGTTTGGGGTTGGCACACCACGCTCATGTTGAGGTCGCTTATAACTACCAATATATTTATAAGTTTCAGCCGGGGGGGGGGAAGGGGTGTTGTGTCCTGAGCCTGCAAAGGCAGGCTCGGGACATTGCAATGGTTCCGGGCAGTTGCAAGCTGCCTGGGACCAGACTGGCTGGTGCTGGCTTTGCGTGCATGCGCGAAGCGCGGAGCGCACCTAATTGTTGCCATTCTTCTGGGGAACGTTGTTAAAAGGAGCTGGGAGGCCTGCGAGCCTCAGAGCTGTGACGGAGTGGAAAAGACTGCAATAAAAGACCTGTTGGAACCACGAGATGTTCTGTGCTCATTCACCATTGAGCTGAGGATTCAACACATACCATATTTGTTTTCATTCTTGTAATCTTAAGGAGCATTTTTAGAATTTTTCCTACTCTTCACCTGTAGCATTAGTATTTTCCTAGGAGCTGTATTTGAAAGTTTTTGAATTCCCACATGCATCACCATCTAGAGACCTGGTTTTTTTCCTTTAGGATAAACCGAGTTAATTTGCACAGCAGGGACTGTGGCCTTTCATATAAGACTAATATAAAGCTGGAAGAAGTCTTTTTTGAAGGCAGTGTTTAATTAAGTTTTTTTCAATTACTCCTTTTATTTACATCAGTCCTGAGCCAAATCTAGATATCAAGGTAAGATTCCATAGACAATCTGGCACTAAGGATGAGAAAAGTTTGTTTTCTTATACCTTCTTACTGAATAACAGACTCCTGCAAAGGTAATTCATTTTTTCCCACATCTATTTATAGCAGTGGTCCCCCACCCCTGACCGTGGACTGGCACTGGACTGCGGCATGCCAGAAATCAGGCTGCATAAACAAGCAAAGCCCGATCCATGGGATGCAGGCAGCACACAAAACCATGCCCCTTCTGGTCTGTGGAAAAACCTTTCACCACAGAACCGATCTCTGATGCCCAAAAGGTTGGGGGCCTCTGATTTAGAGAATCATAAGAAAGGTATGGTACATTTCCAGACAATAACTTTTCATGCCACAGCTTTTCTTCAGTTTTCTTCTTCAACATGACAGGGAACACTATGCCGCAGCATTGCATCTTCCTGTTTCTAATTCTGATCAACTAGGCCTTCTCTCACAGTGGTCCAGTCCATTTAATTCCATTATTACCACAAAATTAAACTTTATTTAAGATTCTTTTGAGTCTTCCTGAGGTTCATTTTAAATTTTTTGAAAAGTTATATTTTTATTATCATTTTACAAAACTTTTGAAGTAGCATTGATTATTCTGTTTTGATAAAAGAAAGCTGTCACTGAAATATAGAAGAGACAGTGAGACAATAGGTGAAATATTAATATATAGAATGGTTCATAAGTTATTTCTTTGGGTAGAAATTCTTGGAACTATAGCATAGTAGCTCTAAAAAACTACAAAAATGAATAGTTGTCTTTAATCCATACAACCTAATGCTTCTGGAAATTTCAATTTGTAAAGTAATGTGCAAGAAAAACTGAAATGGAGCCAGAAAGTTCTAATTTCATGTTTCTATTGCAATCTAGCACGTTTTCCTATTTAAAACACACAGAGAAAGGAAACAGGGCTTCAATTTATCTGTAAACATAATATTTGTGGAAGCTTAAATCAGGAATAAAAAAAAGTACGTATCATATTTCCAACTCAGATGGGAACTTTTAAAGAAGTAAATATCCTCTTACTGAGCTAAGTGATAACATCAAGTTAATCTTGGCTGATCTGAAAAAAGTGAGCAAAGCTATTTGTTACTTGGATTTCAGATGGAAGGCCTTCAGTAAAAAAAAAAAATGAACTAATTTCCTCTGATTCTCACTAGGTTTAGTTAGTGTAGAAAAAAATGAATGGATTGCAAAAGACTTTTGTTCATCTTCAGATGAAAGTTATTTCATTGAACACTTGACTTAACCTTCACTGAATTTAGTGAAATGCTCCCCAAATAAAAATGAAAACCCAACAAGCTTCTGTTTTCTAGCAAAATATCTGACTTGGTTTTCTTGACCTCATGACATTCACCTGTTTGTTTTCAAATGACTTGTTTTTCAGGTCTTCCTATGTTGTGCTGCTGTGGCTTGTAACTACGGAATTGTAAAAAAGGAAAACTGCTTCATAACTGTGACTGTGGCTTTTAAGAACTGCATAAGTAATTTCTAAGCAGCTCAAATAGTTTTTGCATCATACCTGCTGTTATGGCAAAAACAGAACAAGAGAACCAAACAGATATTGCAGCTTTCCATCTGCTGGGATTTGTTGGACTTGGAAATCTACAAGTTCTACTCTTCTGCCTTTTCTTAGTTATCTATATTATTACCATAGTGGGGAACATCCTGATCGTTTTGGTTGTTATTACTGATTCCCATCTTCACACCCCCATGTATTTCTTCCTGAGCAATCTCTCTTCCCTGGAAATCTGTTACAGTTCTAACATCCTTCCAATGATGCTGGCTAATCTCTTATATGGTAGGAAAAGGTCCATTTCTATAACTGGTTGCATGATGCAATATTACTTTTTTGGTATTTTAGGAGTTGCTGAATGTTGTCTACTAGGGGCAATGTCATATGATAGGTGTGTAGCAATTTGTAAGCCTCTGCATTATACAATACTTATGAATGGCAGAATTTGCCTCCAGTTTATAATTGGATCATGGATCAATGGCTTATTTGTTAAGAGCATAGTTTTATATCTGATACATCAATTGAAGTTCTGTGGCCCCAGTGAAATCAATCATTTCTTTTGTGAACTGAATCCAATATTAAAGCTAGCATGCAGTGACACTCACATTATTGAAGTACTAACTTTTTTCATATCTGCTTTGTATATCCTGCTTCCTTTCTTCTTGACTTTGGCATCTTATATCTTCATTATTTCCACTATAATGAGAATGTCATCTGTGAGTGGGAGGAAAAAGGCTTTTTCAACCTGCTCCTCACACCTCATGGTGGTGTCCATTTTCTATAGCACCTTAATGATTGTTTACATTTTTCCCAAAACAGATGGCCTGCGTAATATTAACAAAGTGTTGTCTCTGTTTTATACAATCCTGACCCCTTTGTTCAACCCCCTGATATACAGCCTACGAAACAGGGAGGTGAAAGAGGCCCTTAAAAAAGTGGTTGCTAAATTGTGTACAATTGGAAGGATATACCACCATAATCTAGCATGAACATTTTTTTCATGTTATATTATTCCTCAATGGAATGAAGATTTGGGCTTCTCAAGAATATAATCACATTGATGGATTTCTCTAAAACTGTATTAGGGACATTAAAGAATTTTGCCATGATTATGTCCTCCTCACCTGAGGCAGCCAAAGCAGGGTGAATGGCATATCTCAGTGAATTTTGTTAGCATTCATTCTAATTCAAGAAATGAAGATTCTGATGGGATGTATTCATTATTTTTAAAGGGGCAGCTTAAAATCCAGCACATTTAGAAGAAAAAAAAAGAATTTCACAGAAAGGCTTTTTCTCTCTGGAGCAACCACTTGATTCTTAGCAAATACATAAATGGCTGCTTCAAAGAGGTAGAAGCAGAGGTAATATTGCTGATGACTTTGATAGTGCTGAGTTTTAACCCTTCCCCATTAAACATCTGACCTTTACAAGGAGGAATTTGGAAGGAGCTGTAGGGAATTTCATACCAATCCCAAAGCTGCTTTTATTGAAGTTATTGATCATGACTAGTAGAGGTTAACCTTTATAAAAACTTTCCATAGTTGACAATTTTTCATTTAAAAATATTAAATATTATTCACTTGGAAATATGCTTTTTGGTCTAATTCATCTTATGCCTTCTGATTTCATTTTTTGTTTACATATTTTTTTTAATTTATTTAATAAATAATACATTTATTTAATGTATTTCACCTAGAGTCACAGCTTATGAGATAGGCAAGCATATACATTTGATAAATTATATAGCTATTTTTATGATTCTATGTGTCACCCTGTGATAATTACTAATATGGATAATCACTGATATGCAATATTAGCTATAAAGTATTAGAAACAATGATAAAATATTTAATAGCAAGATCACTGTTTTAATTGACAGAGATATTAATGTTCTGTCTCCAATCCTCCTAAAAAAGTAAGAGAAGCAAATCTTCATTTTTTTTGTTTTTGTCATTACCCAATCATTCTGCCTTCTCCTTATTATCAAACTATCAATGCTATTCCTTAAACTTATGTTTCCAGTTGTTTGGGGATTAGAACTATCTGATATACTGACTAAGGCACTCCCCTGAAATTACTTGCAGCTACTTCAAAAGAAGATTGGTGTAAGGAGTAACTAAGACAATAAAAAGAGAAGGTGGACCATTGCTTTGCACCTGTAAGCTCTTTTGACCATCATAGCAAATGGTGAAACACCAAATGGCAATGATTCTCACTCAGTATGTTGTCATTACAATTGTTTTTCAATTATAATCCTATTAGTTAAATCCACGTGTTTAAAAGTCAAATGGAACTTCTCTTCAAGATGTAATTCACAAAGTAGTTATTTGGCTGCTGACATTTGCCAGTCCCTTCTGTTCACACCCATGAACTATCCAGAGTGCACCACAGGGGGTAGACTAGCTCCACACTTATAAAATTTGATAGTGTTCTGTAATACCATCCAGCTCTTTCCCCAACACCAGTTTCACCTCACATTAGGGTGTTGCAATCAGGTAGGTATCAGTTGATTTCACATTTATTCACACACACACACACACACACACACACACACACACACACAGAGAGAGAGAGAGAGAGAGAGAGAGAGAGAGAGAGAGAGAGAGAGAGAGAGAGTCATTAGAGACAGAATTTAATTCCTAACATTTAGGTCAGTTTACCTAGTAATAGGAAAGAGTAGGAAATGAAATATTACATGAAATATTAAGGAAAAAGACAATGGCAAATCACTTCCAAAATCTTGCCAAGAAAACTTCAGGACTTCAGCATCATTTGATGACACACTCCTATACTTAAATAGCATTACTGACTTTTTTTTTAGTCTTTAAAGTAGCAATTGTATATTGAGAGAAGTTTTAAATATCTGGGAGTTTTTAGATTCCCCTGGCCATTATCATCCAGAGACTTGTTCTCTTCCTCTGGGATAATATAAATTTTTATAGCAGGGACTGTGTCTTTTCATACAGAATAAATGCTAAGTTAGGATTTTTTAAAATCCAGTCAGTTAGATTTTATTTTAGTAAGTTCTTATATTGAGATTAGTCATGAGTTAAATCTAGACATCAAGATAAAATTCTATAGAAAATTTGATGATCATGGTGAGAGAAAATTGAAAGCTTCTACAGAGATAATTATATACTATACTGTTGGATTGTTATTCGTTTTTATGCTATTGGCCAGTCATATTTTTAAATTCAAAATTCATTCTCTGTTAAATATAGAATGGATTGTATCCATACCTTTAAATCAGTGTTTCTCAACCTTGACAATTTTAAGGCTGTGGAATTCTAGAAGTTGAAGTCCACATGCCTTAAAATTGTCAAGGTTGAGAAACACTGATTTAAATGGTAGATATACACTCGGTTCTATATTTAGCAGAGATTGAATTTGGATTTAAAGTGTTATTGAGTCTTTCTTAATTCAGATTCTAATTTTTTAAAATGCATTTTCATAAGTATTTGACAAACTTAATGAACCAATATTATCTTGTTTTGTTAAAAGAAAATTACCATTGAAATACTAAATATTCAAATGGAGAATAGAAGTGCTATGAAACATATTAGAGAGAAATGTGAGAACATAGGTAGGGAAAATCAAAAAAAGAAAATGTATAGTTAGAAGAAAAGTCTGGACACCTCTACCCTCAACTATTTTGTTTTTATCCTTTTTCTTTCTTGCCCATTTCTTTGTTGCAATCTTCAACACATTTCCTATGATTCACTTGAAACCATTAACATTCATTCAATCCAGAAAAACAGTTAACTGATCACAAAACAATAATTTCAAATTCCACATTATTTTTATTGGGTATACAGCAAAGGCAGAAAACATGTCTTACTAACAACAGATACATAGCTTTAGGAGACAGTCTGGTGTCTTGTTCTAGATCACTATTTCTCAACTCGGAACTTTCTGGATGTCTTGAGAATGGAACAGCTGAAATTCTTCAAATCACATTTCTAAACAGACTGGAATGTGTAAGTAGATTGGATTCAAATCAAGCATGCATAAGGGAGAAAAGCTACTTATCTCACCATGTGATATGATTTTGGCCCATCTGGTATTCAGCTAATATTTTCAAAATGATTTCAGGGAAGAGTGCTATGTCACAATTTATTAGGTTCAAATATTCACCAAAGTGGTATTATCTTATTTGCTAGATCAACAATTCCCAAAATTTTCAGCCTCAAACCTTTTCTGGATAATAGCAATATTGATTTTGCTAAACATTCATCAAGTTCATAATGTGAATTGTAGATCCCCAGTATTTCCAGTTAAGGGTCATGAAGCTTGTCTTTTGATTTTAATTTATAATATGTGGTATGAAATAAATTGCCTCCCAAATTCTCACTTCTGTGTATTATACAACCTGCGGGCAAAACTGTTAAGTGAAGCTAGCACCTTCTAATTCTGCCTTTCTATTGCAAATAAGGTCATGTTTTTCCTACAGAGAGAAATAGGAAGAAAACAGCACCTCAATCCATTGGTAAATATGATTTGTGAAAACTTGTCAATATTCAAAGTATGGATCAAATTTTCCAAAATAAGATATTTTCTAAAGTAAATGATCTGGCTGATTTGAAAAAAAGAAAACCTGAAGTAGAGACACATCAAATTAGACCTGAAATGGGAGTCTCTCAGAAAAGTAAGCAGAACTTTAAGCCATTGCATTATATAATAATAATTAACCATAGAGTTTGTTTCCAGCTTATTGCAGGATCATGAATCAATGGTGTATTTATTATGAAGATAAATTTAGGTAGTACTACCTCCAAAATGGCCACAAAAGTCTGGATCCCTCTGTTCCTTTCCCCCAGGCAATTTAGAAAGCAGATCCCTTACCAATAAAAGAATTGGTATATATTCAAACTGATGGATTATAGTTTTTCCTCCCCATAATGCAACTTCAGGGCTCCAAAAAGGGTCGCTGCAATATTTTTCCTGTTGTTCCTTGTATGTTGATAAAGTGAGGGGAGGCTTGGCTTAGGGGTTGGGTTAGGACTGATCGGGTGGCTCCAGTATCCACAAGGAAGGGAATAGGTTTGCCTCCTACTGTTAAACTGACCACAGGTTCTGGGAGGCGGACTGAACCCAGTTGGTCTCAGTCCCACTCCTCTGCTTCTGCCAGGCCTATGAGGGGAGTCCTTGAAAATCCTCTTCTTCTTTCTCTCCCTCCCTGGCTTCTCCCTGGGCCACCTCTGTTGCTCTTCGCAAACCTGCCTCTTCCCCCTCCTTTTTCTTCATCCTTTTCTCTTTCTGGACATTCACCCTTCCAGTGTCCTTCTTCTTACATATGGCACACTGGTTTTGTCCTAACACCATTCCCCGTCCTCTACCTCTGCCACCTCCCCTTGACACCCCCATCATAGCAACTGCCAGCAATTCAGCTTTCCTTTGCATTTTCTGATCCTTTTTCTTTTCCTCCTCCTTTTCTCTTTTCACAAAAGTCTTTTGGGACACTTCATTTGTTTTTTCACTAAATGGGCCATAATGAAATTTCCAAGCAAGAAGGTCTGATGTAGTAAAAGGCATATGTTGAAATAGAGGAGCTGTAGCTGTTTCTGCTGGATCGTCCTTACTGACAACCAATTGATCTATTTGTCTAAGGGGAGCATTCAAAGATGCTTCCTCAGTCTTTGCCCTCGTTTGTTCGGCTATCAGTCCTCCCACTTCTCTGTCTTCTGTTTGCAGTCCCATCCGTTCCTCTTCTGCCTTGGACCCCCTCAGCACCTCTTGCTGAAGGTCCACTTTGGGTCCCTTGATCCTGGACATCTGGTTGGATTATAGCTTGTCCCCAGCTTTTTCTATCTTCTAAACTTTTTAACATAGGGGACAGTTTTGCATTTCTGGATCCATGGTAGAGGTCTTTGCAACAAGCCGAGCCAAACATCAATATAAGGTGCCTGGTGTGGGTGCCCTAACATGGGATTGAACACTAGCTGATGTACTTTTAGAGCAATGGATGGATCTAATGTCCCTGTGCTTGGCCAGCCTATGTTAAAGCTGGGCCAATCTACCTCACAGAAGATCCTCAATTTATGCCTGCTCCACTTAATACCATAATCCTGATCCTCATAAGCAGACTTAAAATGCTTTAACATACACCCCAACAGAGTAAGGGGTACACTTTCACCACCCCCCATGAGCCTCCCAGGGCACCAGACAAGACAAATGAGGAAAGGGGATGAGAGGAAGGTAAGGGGTCCTTCCACTCGGGATTACACTGAGGGTTTCACTTATACGCGCTAGATCCAGGGAGCCGGAAACTCAATGGTCACCGAGGGGAAGTTCGAGCACCACTCACTCACTGCAAACACACACAACAATCCTCCCACCTTATTCCAAAGAGAGGGTGATCAGTCCTCTCCTCCGTCCCTGTTTACAGGGAGGGATTCCTTATTTCCCTTTCAATACTTGCCTGCAGGCGAATCCTTTGTCCTCTAGACGGCTGGAAAGTTACCTAGTCTCCTTACCCTTCACCAGTGGTTCTTGGAGTGGCCGACCGCCAATGCTGGAGCCCTGTGTC